TAAGAATCCTCTAGAAGGTTCTTGAGCACCTCTAGCCCCCTTGATCTCTGTGACATAAAAGCATCTCAGGTCATTGTCTCTGATGGCAACAATCACCTCCTTCCTACAGAGAAGAGTTTCCCGAGGAACACATCCCTCATAGATTTGGATCACAGGCCATGTCCCCTCTTCTAGAACAATCCCAGAGGATTTGGCTTCTGACAGAGCATCTTCATGGCCCACTTTCTCAAAAACACAGCTTTTCTTTTAAACCTCATCTGATCCTTATAGCTCACATGATCTTGAAGCCTCCTTATGTCCCATGAGCAGAGAGCATGCGTCAGAGTTCAGCACATGCTTGGCTGGGCTGAAAATAGCCAGCTTGAAAGTGAAGTTCTGTGGTTACTCAGATCAGCAGGAGAGAAAGGTGATGAGTGCTCCGGATGTCACTCTGTATTTCCTAACCCAGGGGTCTCCTGTGCATAGTACCAACTTAGGGTCCATCTTTGTTCACTTTAGAAACTGGCTGAGACCACCTTCAGAATAAAGACAGATATTCAAAGACAGATGCAGGGCCAGTGGTGAGGAGATATCATATCATCTGGGCATCCACTGGACATCCTCAGCTCAGAAAAAGGCCGATTTGTTGAATGCTTGTCAATTTTCTTCCTTGATGTTCTTTGCAGGGGGGCCTCACAGGGTTAGCTACAAGTGTCACCATCTCCATTAACTCAGGCATTCATGTCAGACCTCTTTCTCCACCCTCAGGCTCAGGTTTGCCTTGAACTAGTGATGCCCATTTCCACAGAGAGGACATATTTATAGGAACATCGTAAGTGAATGTAAAGACCCAAGGGGGTAACTCTCCTAATGATAGTTCTCCATGGAAGCTCTGCCCACTGACAGAGCACACCACGGACATAGTTTCTTAGAGTGAGGCCTGTCTGTCAGTCCAGCATAGTGAAGATTTCCTTCTAACAGTTCAGATGGAGTGTATGGATTCAGCATCAACCCTTGCTTACATTTTCCTTCTGAACATTGGATACACTTGAGCATACCAAGATCCTGGATGTAATATAGGAGAGTTTTCCTGGCCAGTGGTGTATCATCTTCAAGGAAGAGTCAGAGAGTGGTGGGTCTAAGTGTAAGATGGGAGTAACTGCTGGACGTGGGAAAGAGAGGGGTGGGCTTGGATGATGCGGAGCCTAGTTTTTCTGTGCATGACTGCATTACCAGACAGAGGGTGTCAACTAGGAGTCTAGAGGCATGGGCTAGCAGAATGTTGAGGGCTGGAGAGGAAGGAACAGGGAGAGATTAGCTGGTGCCCAGAGGTAGGTGAAATCACCAGGTGAGCTTCAGGACCAAGAACAGAGCTCTGGAGGCGGGAGGTGAAGCCGCTGAGGTAGGCGTTCAGGACCAAGGACAGAGACCAGGGAGGCTCTTAAACCACGCCAAACATAACTGTTTCAAGGCAGAAGGTAGTGTAAAAAGGCAGAAGTGAGCTAGGATGAAGGGCCACTGAAGTCGACATGCACAGTTACTGGACCCTCTAGAGACCTCGTGCCTATAGTGCACAAGTCCTGTGACCCTTTCTTTCAGCTTCCCCTAGCAGGGGTGCGCTGTATGTGTGTAGTGAGAGGTGTCGGCACATTGTGAGCTGCATTGCAGCTTACTCAGTTCTCAACAGTTTTCACATGTGTTCATTTACATGTGTGTTTAACTATACACTGTTGTCCCATGTGTACATCCATGTAATGACCATCACGGTCAAACCAGAGAATTGCTTCATCATCACAAAACCTACTTCATGTCAGTCTACCCCACGACTGTCCACTAGAGACCACTAATGTGTTCTCCAACTCCGGTTTTGTCACTTTGAGAATGTTCTGGAAATGGAAGCATTTCAATGTCATATTTTGAGATCAGCTTTCCTCCCCGCTTGGTAAGTTACAATGGTTCTGGGATCCATACAAGTAGATGTACTTAGAAATAATTCATTCCTCTTTATTACTGGGTGAGATTCTATCGTAAAATGGAATAAATTCACAATAGTTTAACTACTTGTTCACCAGAGTATTTAGGTCCTTTCCATTACAAATAAAACTGTTATCCATATTCATACATATTTTCCTTTATATGATCATGCATTTTTATTTCTCCAGTGTGTATGCTTGCACAACTACTAAGATATATAGTGAGTTTATGTTTAGTTTTCTAGTAAATAACTGAACTATTTGTAAAAACAAAACAATCAAACACATTTCAGTGAAGAATGTGTGACATTTCCTAGAGCCCAGGGAGAGATGGTGCCACCAAAAGATGGGTTCTGGTCCAAGGACAGAGCACCCACAGTGCAACTTACACAGACAACTAATTTCCCTTAAATTATTGTGGGCAAACCAGAACGTGTCTGTTAGTCTATGCAGAACCTCAGATGATAGTCTGTGACCTCTGACTAGAGGATGGAGACTTCAGAGCTGTGGATGTATGCCTGGGGCCATATGGTGCTCCCAGCAGGCATGGGAACTGACCTAAGGTGCACAGATGGGCCTTCAGGAATGAGATGGGGACCAGTCAGCAGGGCAGATTCAGCTCTTCTGCCTGCCTTGTGACTGGGGCCCTCGGTGTCACACCTTCAGGTCTTGTTGTTCTTTTATTATTTTTTATAAATGACAATTTTAATTTTTTATATATAAAAGTTGATGAAAACCCATTGCTAGTTCTATTACAACTGAACATTTCAATTAAAAAGCATAGTAAATATACTTATTGAATACCATTTTCTAAAATACAGCATTAAAACATCTAACATGCTTGTTTAATTTCAGTACAAAGGATTCAAGACCAAGTATGCATGTTACATGCATCACAGTTAGATTACAAATGATCATCGTCATCATCATCATCATCATCTTCAAGTTTTCTTTTCAGCGCATTTGCCGACTCATTGGCTGCATTTTGTGATACCATATTAGTAACAATAACAATGTTTTTGGATCCATTTAATGATGGGTTAATAGAATGTTCTGAACTGCTGATATTGCAGGAATTAAAGCTTTTAAAGCAGAAGACTGAGGAGCAGGCATCTGTACTGTAAACCTTTGCCCTGTGAGGGACACTGGCATGCCTACTTTAGTTGAGACAGTTGAGTTGGAATAGAGTGCCTAGTGTGGGAGTACTTGGTCTGCTAGAAACTGAGCCAACACTTCACAGTGGAACTGTTACTCCTCTTGCCTTTTTTTTTTTTTTTTATAAAGACTGTAGTTTGGGGCAATTAAGCAATATCTATCAGGTGGCAATCGAGGACCTGAGTATGGCTTGCTCAATGGCAAAGGGATTTGATTTCTTTATCTTGCAACATCTAGTAAAAAAACCTCTCACAGGAGAAGTGAAAGACTGGTTTTCAAGGGAGAAGTGAAAGACTGGTCTGCACAGGACTGGAGTGCCAACCTCACATCATTTGCATCAACAGTCGCCTTCTTAGCATGACTTGAATAAATTTTAGCATCATCTAGAATTGTGGTCACATATCTATTGGAAGGCAAACTCCAACATCTGATTTATAACTCTTGGCTCATGTTCTGCAGTCCCCATGTCCTTCAGGATTTGTGCCATCATCTCTGCATCTTTCGGCATGCTCTTGGGAGAAGCCATCTTGCCAGACTCCATGATATCAGGTGGCCAGACTTGTTGAGCTAAATCACCCACATTAATGCACTTCAGTCCTGATCTTGATGCAAATTATTTGCCTCTTGTGGCTTTTCCAACCCCTGGTGTACCAGTGAGCAGGAAGTTTCATAGTCTTTCTTTGCACACAGCTGGTGCCTTGGCTCACACTCCCAACACACTTGCCAGGGAGGAACCAGAGAGACTTCTTGTTCTTATAATAAGCAATGAGATGGGCCTAGATTAAGACCCCTTTCTGTAGCAGTTTAATATCCTGGTTTCAAATTCTTTTAAACTTCCATTACTCATCGGGATCAATTTTCCTTTGCCTTGAACTGGGTGGTCTGGGACAGCTGCAGCCAGTAGATGGCAGTGTGGCTCTTAATCTCTTCTTCAATCAGCATCTTGTGGACCTCAGCCTAGAGTTTTTAGAACTGCCTACATTCAGGGTTGGTTGTTCCTCTTCATTCAAATTTCTCTGTACACACCCTCACAGACACACCTACAGGGTAGACTCCTGGGTGATTTCAAAGCCAGTCAAGCTGAAAATGAAGATTAATCACCATAAACACACCCCCCTCTGTGTGTGTGTGTGTGTTTAAAATTTCCTTCCATGAATTTGATACCAGACATACACTATACCTATGTCTATTGACCATTACAACTTGTCCTCTGGATTTAAACTAACTGCAGATTCCCAATACTTGGGAGGCTCACACTGGAGAGAGTTTGAAGACAACTTGGGGTACACAGCAAAACTCTGTCTTATAAAAACAAAATAAGGGGTTGTGGATTCAGCTCAGTGGGTAGAGTGCTTGCTGGCATTCGTGAAACCTTGGGTGCAGTCTTCAGCCCCTCATAACACTGAACATGGTGGTGAATGCCTGGAATCCTAGCACTTTGGTGCTGGAGGAAGGAGGATCAAGGCAGATTGAGTGACATGAGACCTTGCCTCAAACCCAAACTCTCCCTTTCTCTGAGTGAACACCTGTGGCCCCAGTAGCCATTGTGACAGGTGTCCCTGACCAGAGAAATCGCTGCTCTGAGTTCATAGCAGTGCTGCCCCAGGCTGAGCCTTTAGCAGTGCCCCTCACCACCCTGGGTTAGCCTGGGCTGCCTTGTGCTCTCTTGTTACTGCAGACAACCTGCCTTTGGTTGCTCTCCTCTCCCATGATTCCCTGCACTCACATGTGTACTGGGTGAGCAGAGGGGTTTGCTGTGTTCTGTAGTTTACATCTGTCTCTACTGTCCTGTCTATCTGCCTCTCCCTTTAAGAGTCCCACCCATCTTTTAAGTTCAGATACAGCCTTGAATCTATGCAGCAGAGGAAGTTCCCTCTTTATCCAGCTGCATCACACATACGATGACTTGGTCTCAAAGACTGACATTCTCTTTCTCGAAACATGCGAAAGTGAGAAGTTGTCAAGGAAGTAAACGAGAGATACCTAGAGGAAATTCAGGCTGAGCTTCGAGTTCTTGCAGGGTGTTGGCATCTGTCACCACCACAGCCAGGAGAGGAGACAGGACCATGTGGCTGTTCCCTGCTCTGCTCCTCTTCCTCCCAGGTAAGTAGCTGGGGCTTTAAGACATCACAGAGTCAGTGGTGGCACAGGACACAGAGTCTGCCCTGGGTTAGGGAAAACAGGAAGGGCTAATTCATTCACCAGATGCTTACTCCCTAAATAAAAGGCAAGTCATTGGCATCTGGTGGATCCTATGGGTGCTGCAGGAAAACAAAAACAAAACCAAAATTTTAAAGAACCTTGCAGAGTGTGTTTCTCAATCCCAATGCTCGACAAAAGTGGTTGAGTCCATGGACAAACTAATTCTTTTAAAAATACATTTATAGTTTTATTTTTGTCACTTTGAGATAAGATCTTATGCAGCCTAGGATGACCCAGAACTTGTGATTCTCTGGCCTCCACCTTCCGAGTGTTGGGATTTCTAGCATACACCTCCATTTCCAGTTCCATTCGGATTTTTAATTGACACAGTAATTAAACATTTATAGGAGTGTAGTAGTGCATGCTCTAATGCCAGCACTGAGAAGACAGAGGTAGGTGGACCTCTGTGAGTTCAAGGCCAGTCTGGTCTACACAGGGAGACCTGTCTCAAAAAGAAAAAAGAAACTGATAGATTTAATGTCATATTTGCATGTGTGTATATAGGATGTGACGTTCAGATCCGGGTAGCTCACCATCCACCACAGGAGTCTGTCATTTCTTTGTACTAGAAGCATTTGAAATCTTCTCTATGAAGTAATTTGAAATATTGAATTGTCAACCATATTTCTCAGCTGTGTTGTACAACTAGACGTTGTCACTCTCACCAAACGACACCCAACATCCTAAGCTCTCTCTCTGTCAACCTTTCCCTGGCACCCTTCCCAGGCTGATAACCACTATTCTGTTCACTACTTCTTTGAAGTAACCTTTTGTTCTTTATGAAAAAAAAATCTGTCTGTGGGGTGTATGCATGTGTAAATGTTTAGTGTGTGTATGTGTGTGCTCAAGTACATATGTGTGGGTGCACACACATATGTGGAAGCCAGAGTTTAACATTGGGTACCTTGTTTGTTGAGACAGGGTCTCAAATTGAACACAGAACTCACTGATTCACCCGATCAGTCTATGTGTCCAGTGATCCCCAGGGATCCTCCTGGTTCTGACTCCCCAGCTCTGAGGGCTACAGACTCACCCCACCTCACCTGGCTTTTCCCATGTGTTCTGGGATTCTGAACTCAAGTCCTCCTGCTTCAGCAGCAAACACTTTACCAATCTGTCCATCTCCCCGTCCCCTAGACCCAGAGAATAACTTTTTAGCTTCCACTTATAAATAGAAATGTGTGGTAGTGTCTTTCTGTGTCTGGTTTATTTCACTTCCTCCAATCCCATCCCTGGCTGCAAATGACGGAATTCAATCCTTTTACAATGCTGTTCCACTGCATTTATGTATCACACTTTATTATCCATGCATCCACATCAAGGCTGATCCTGTGCCATGGCTGTTGTGAATCTGCTACAGAAAACACAGGGGAAGGATCACTGCAGTAACTCACTAATTCTCTGGACTCTGGGCTTGCTTTCTATCACTGTGATACAGACCATGGCCAAGAACAGCTGGGAGAGGAGAAGGCTTGTTTACTTACATGTCCGGATCACAGTCCATCATGGAGAGAATCCAGAGCTGCAGCTCAAGATGGGCAGGAATCTGGAGGCAGGAACTGAGGCAGAGATCCTGGAGGAGTGCTGCTTACTGGCTTGCTCCCCAAGGCTTGTTCAGCCTGCTCTCTTTCACTAACCAGGGGTGACACCACCCACAGTGGACTAGCCCTCTCCACATCAAGAAAATGTCCCCCAGACTTGCCTATAGGCCCACCTGATGGAGGCATCTTCTCAATTGATGTCTTTCTTTCTGCATGCCCCAAGATGGAGTCAGGTTGACAAGAAGTATCTGACACAGGCCTTTTCCCGAAGTGTGGCTGAAGAATTATGTGGCAGTTCTTTGCTTTTTTGAGGAACTTCCCTACTGTTTCCCACAATGTCTAATTTACATTCCAACCCACAGCGTGTGAGACTTCCACTGTCCCACATGCACATCTACAGTTGTTATATTTTGTCTTTTTGGTAATATCCATTCTGACTGGGGGATGATGATGGCTCTCTGTGATTCTGATTTGCATCAATCTCCCTGACAATTAGTGAAATAGAGCATTTCTCCATATATTTATTGGCTATTTGTATCTCCTTTGAGAACTGTGTGCTCAGTTCATCTGCTCTCGTGGGTGTGGGTGTGAACAAGTGTGCATGCACACTTTATTTTATTTTATTTTTGGCACATGGTCTCACTATGTAGCTCCAGATGGCCTGAAACTCTTTACGTAAACCAGGCTGGCCTTGAACTCACAGAGATCTGCCTGTCTCTGCCTCCTGAGTGTTGGCATTAAAGCATGCACCACCACGCCCTACTCCCACCTTTATTTTTTGAGATAGGGTTCTTCTCTGAAACTGAAACTGACTTGGTTGGCCAAGGCTTCCAGGATCCCCTGTCTCTACTGTCCACATCTGTGCTGGGCTCCAATGACACTCCTGACATTTACATGGTTGCTGGGAACATACACTCAGGTTCTTCTTGCTTAGGCTAATACAGCAGGTGTCTTGTGACTAAACCTTCACCACAGCACTAACCCTTCACCACAGCGCCTCAGTAGATCATTTTCTATTGGATTATGATTGCTGGTGGACTCTTTGAGTTGAATTCTTGCTCATATAGTCTGGAAATTGACCTCATGTCAGATGCATAGTCTGAAAAGATGCTCTTCCACACTGCAAGCAGTCTCTCCACTCTGTTGGCTGAGTCCTCTTAGTTTGAAATAATTACATTTAGTGATTTATGTTTTCTTACCTGAGCCATTAGGAACATACTTTGTTATTGTTGTTGAATCTAAAACCCTGAAGCTCTTGTTTATCGTTTCTAGGCAGATATTTGTTATTGTTTGGTTTTGTCCCTGCTATGCAAGCTCTTACTGAGCTGCACCCTCAGCCCTCACTGGGAGCTTTGGGTCAGATTTACAAGGATCTGAAGGACAGCACAGGATCAGTGTGCTGTGGACTCTGTACCACAGGAGAACAGATTGATGGCGTCATTTTGGTCAGCTTCCAAGTCATTCATCCAGGGTGGTTCCCGAAAGAACCCCTAGAGACTACTACTGCCTGAAGTGGCCTCTGCATGGCCATAGGCTGTGGCTTCTTCAGACGGATTCCTGAGGGTCATGGGTACAGAAATGAAGGCAGGATCATGTTGTGTGGACAAGGTCTTCTGACACGCCCTCTGCTCCAGAGTAACGCAAAGATGGTTGCAAAGGGATTCTTTGAAATGTACTTTTATTGGCCATTGTAGTATGAAGAGGGGTAGATGATGGGAAGTCATGATTGCGCAGTGTCACCATTTACCTTCTGAGACCTATAACTGGGCCCTTCAGCCATTTTTTGAGTCTTTAACCAAAGAATGATGATTAGCTGTCTTGAGAAAGGGGTAGCTCTGCACTGATTGTTACTCAGTGGTGAACTCTTTTTGGCACAGGGCAGTGGGTCCTGATCTTAGAGTGAGAGATCAGGGGTCCATGGGTTTGTATTTTCCAGGCTTCTCCACTGCTCAGGATCCAATCACAGGTCCAAACATGGTGAGAGGTCAGGAGCAGGGCTCCTTGACTGTGCGGTGTCCTTATGACTCATCCTGGAAGGATTACAATAAGTACTGGTGCCGAGGAGCTGATTGGAGTTCATGTGAGATCTTCATTCAAACCGATGCATCAGAGCAGTTGGTGAAGAAGGACTGTGTGTCCATCAGGGACGACCAGACAGACTTCATCGTCACAGTGACAATGGAGGACCTGAGGATAAGCGATGCTGGTATTTACTGGTGCGCGATTGAGAGAACTGGACGTGATCCCCATTTTAAAGTTAATGTGAATATTCACCCAGGTAAGAAAAATTCCAGAAGATCTTGGCTGGGGTGAGGAATCAGGGACCCTGAACTCATTACTGTAAAAGTCTTACTGGAAAAGGAAACCACATTGGACTCTGCTGTTTTCTACTGAGATAAAGGTGAGGTGGGGAGGCTTTGTCTTCCCGCCCCCACATGTGAGTCTTGCATATTCTCACTTGTACAGATCTGGGAACTGAACTCAAAACCTCAGGTGTGCTAGCCAAGTACTCTACCACTGAACTAAACTTCCATCCTGACCGCCCCACCCTATCCTTTTAATATAAAATAAAGGAAGCCACAGAAGCTCTATTTCTGGGCAAGATAGAGTAATAAGGATCAGATTTGTGTCTGTTGAAACTACAATAAAGTCAATAGACAAAACTGAGTCTGGAGAGATGGCTCAGTGATTAAGAGTGATTAATCTCAGTGATTAATACTGACTGCTTTTCCTGAGGACTGGGTTTGAATCCCAGTCCACACAGCAGCATACAACCATCTTCAACTCCAGTTCCAGGGGATCTAATCTCTCCTGGCCTCCCCAAGCCCCACATACACATGGTGCCCATAGATATGTGCAAGCAAATACTCATAGACATATCAAGAATTTTTTTAAAATAGAGAGAAATTGCAAAACTGAAGTTTTTCTGCGTATCGCACACCAGGCAGTAATGAGTGAGCCATGGAGGAAGCGGGTTTTAAAGGGGGGCTGCAGAACTGAATTGTATTGCAAAATAAATTAAAATAAATTTAAAAAAAAAAGGGGGGGCTGCTTTGCTCCCACATCATCTTTCTTTAGAAAAGAATAAATGTGAAGGTTTGGATGGTGACTGGAGAGCAAATTCCTTAATTTCTACTGGGAAAAGGTTAGGCCATACCCAGAGCTGGACTGTCCACAGGAGTGAACCATGTTCTGTTTGTGTCTTTAGCCCCAGAAACTTCAACTATAACAATGATAACCATGGCTCCAGTTCTGACATCCACACCATTAACCACCATGGCTCCAGTTCTGACATCCACACCATCAACCACCATGGCTCCAGTTCTGACATCCACATCATCAACCACCATGTCTCCAGTTCTGACATCCACACCATCAACCACCATGGCCCCAGTTCTGACATCCACACCATCAACCACCATGGCCCCAGTTCTGACATCCACACCACCAACCATGGAGAACTTTGGCAACTATGGAGAGGCCCATACCAGCACCCTCACCTGGTAAGCAGAGCTGGATCCTGGCAGCTCTTTCTAATGGGCTGACTCTGTGACCTCTCCCCTGGGAGGACTTCCAGATAAAACACAAGATGCCCAGGACTCCTACGATTCTTGAAAACAGTTCATTTCTAACCTAAGTATATCCTCAGCATTACATGGCTATATTTATAATTTTGAAAAAGTCACTTATCTGAATACCAAATTGGCCTGGCCATCTTGTAATTTTATTTGCTAAACTCAGTAACTATCTTAGAGGGACACTGGGGCTGCTGTATTCTCATGTTAAAGTTTGAGGTGGGCTCCCCAACCCTTTTACCTTTTAGTATACCAAGACTTCCCTTCTAAGCATCAGCTACAGGAAGGCAGTATCTTCTGAGTGGCAGAAGAGACTGAGCCTGGTCTTTGGTGTCTTCCCTATGTGTCCCCCAGAGGGCAGGCGAGTGGGCCATGGTTGGGTCTCCTCTGAGTTAGAAGAGATTCTTGTCCCATCAGCTTCTGACTGCAGCCCATAAATAAATTTCATTGTTCCAAAGCAACTCTGCCAAGAGCCAATGTGGGGGTCTACCAAGTACAGAGGAGGGCATGGGAAACTGAGGGCTGTGCTGTGCTAGCCCTCACTCTTGATGTGATGCTTCTCACTCTTGAAGGTGTCCAGAGGAATTCCCAGCACTGTATAGCTACCTTGGCATAATTCCATCACAGTCAAGGACACAGCTAAACCACAAGCCTCCTCGTCCCCCTACCTTGAAGGCAGAGGCCACCTTGCTAGCCCTCCCTGAGAATTGTCCCTCAGGTCCTATCTAGTCCCTACCCCTTCTATCATGTTCTTTATGCCCACTAAATCTTAAGCTAGACAAACATGTCTCAAAGTGTTCTGTAGGCAGAGTTTTTCCTAGGGATCACTGATCAGCTCTGTCCTGCCACCCACTCCGAAATAACCACACAGTGATTTATTATTAATTATAATGTTCAGCTGACAGCTGAGGCTTGTTTTTAGCCAGCTCTCATAACTTAAATTAACCCATTTCTACTAATCTATGTGCTGCCCCAAGGCTCATTTACCTTATCTATGCACTTTCCATGTTCCTCCTTTCACATCTGGCTGGTGACCCCCAGATGCCACCCTTCTTCTTTCCAGCATTCTCTCTGCCCTGAAAATCCTGCCTAGCTTTTTTATTAAACCAGTCACAGTGACATATATTCACACAGTGTAAAGGAATATTCCACATTTCTACCTTTTTGTGTAAATAAAAAAGAAAGGTTTTAACTCTAACATGATAAAACTACAGACAATAAGAACAATTGTAGGTAAGAATTACATTTATAATGTCCAGTCCATTTGTATTTGGCATGTTTGGAGAAAACTCTCCATTATTTATCTTATCTTTGTGAGTTCAAAGTTTTATACCTAATTTACTTTTTATCATAACTAAGGAAAACTTTAAGTTTAATTATTTAGTCTTTAATTCCATCAAAGACCCTAGAAGAATATAATGTTACTTAATGACAGCAACATCTGGCTGCCTGGACAGTCACCCAAAGTTCTTCTGTAATGTTGGGGCATCCACCTTTGGCCTACAGGCCTAGTATATCTCACAAACCTTTCTGAGAAGCAGGGAATTTTGAAGGATTGTCCTACCTTGTCTTGGCAAAATTTGGCAGTCACTTTTTTGCATCCTTCTGGTCCAGTTTGGACAGCATACCATCAGCAATTGAGATAAGGGCAGTTTCTTTGCCCAAAGGGCTAGATTCTGTCATAAAGAAAGCAAACTTTATAAGGAAGTTCTTCAATGCCCATCATCTTCTTTTGAAGTAAAGGGGTGCTGTCAGAAGCAGACGTGACTCAGTGTCATGAAAAGCCTTAGGTTATTAACCACCTTAAATGCCATATTCTGTAGATCTTTGAAGTGTTTAAAGACCACCATCTACCTAAATCTGTTTGTCTAACCCTGAAAACATACCTAACATGACTATAAATTTGAGTATTATAGATGACGATTAACCTGTATTTTTTAAATTATATTATATTTTTAAATGAGTTGCATAAACACAATACCCCAAACAAGAGTAGAAACACACATATAGTATAGCAAATATAACTTTAAATTTGTATCAATACACCAAAATCCATACCATAAAATATTTTGAGAGTAATAGTTGTTTTCTGGATTAAAGTAGATTCAGTAATCTACCTGTTTTTCCTATCATTCTTATATCATATCCCCCTTTTTTCCTTTCGAAGGAGATCTTTGAATTTAACTCTTTTGTTTAGCTTTTTTCCTTACTATGACCAATAACAACTTGTAACCAACCCCCCTTAAATGATAACAAACATCCAAAACCCATCTTTTGGAAATGTGGGCAGTTGTATTTTCTAGACTGCTTCCTATTGTCTGGGGGCACTGGCATTATGCAAGAAAATTCAGGATTATAGTCAAGTCCTGACTGGAGTATTCTGTTAGGTTAGACTGTCTAAGCCAGCAGTCTTGAAGCTGTTCTGGATCCAGAACTCTCAGGAAACTACAACAGAGGCACTCTGAGATGTTGGATCATTTGAGCCATAGTTTTTTTTTTTTTTTATTGGTGTCTGGTCTCCTAGTTCTGAAAATACATAATCTTTTAAAGGTAACATACATATCTGTACCAATACAAGTATAGACTGTGTGTTGTACCCAAGTTAGTCAAAGATGATTTTTTTTTTGTTTTATGTTTTACCAGGAAAAATACACCTTACATGTTTTGTAGTTTTTTTAAGGTTTATTTCTTTATGTCTGTAGCCAGGATTTTTAGGGGGTCTTTCCTGATCAAACCTGAGCCATATCAACCTGGAATTAGTCCACAGCCTCTCATTTCCTGTGGAAATGAAAGTGTAACCTCTCTCCCAAAGCAACATACCTTTTGACTTCCATTTTGAAGTCAAGATCTTTTTGAAATATATAGGTTGGTTTGATCTAGCAGTTTTCATAATTCAATGTCTCTTAGCAGCTATTGCTCCTTCATCAGCAATCAGAAAATTAAGGACAACACAGTAACACATAGGATCCAGATTCCTGTGTACTTTTTATCTTTACATGTTTTTTTTTTACTTTATTTCTTTTTTAAGGACTTTATTGTCTTTAAACTTTTTTTTATGAATGTCTAGTAGTCTTTCTATTTTCTCTCCCAAGCCTATGCTATGGGAGCCCACAGAAGTTTCCTAGTGAGATCTGAGCTTGCTTTACCCAGCAGGGCTGCATTAAGGGATGGCTTGACCGTGCATGGTTACCAGGTGGTTGGAAGGGTCTGCACTTGGCTGTACTAGGGGGAGATCTTTTACACCATCCCTTGGCATTCCTATAAAAAGTCCTTTTGAAGAGACAGAAGGAGTAGGTGGATATTGATCCAGGCCCTCCCAAAGCTATCCTGTGTTTCTGTCTGTCTCTTCTCCACACTCTCCTTCTATCTAATATTTCTTAATCTCTCTCTCCTCTAGAGTACCCTGAGAAAAAGTGGAAGCTGGCCTCCCACACTATGTATATTTTTAAACACACTGTAATCAGTTTAGAGTTTTTTTTCTGTCTGGATCTGCCTTTACTGTGTGTCAGTGATCTTTTCTATCTGTATGATTAAAACTTAAACTCTTGCAGTTTAGTTCACTCACTCTGGGGCCTCAAGTCGGCAGGCAGTGGCTGAGAGAAACCTCTTTGTACTGTAGCTTGGGTGAGGACTGAGGGACTAGAAAACTGAGTTTGGCACTGTTTTTGTGTGTTTGGAAGGCTTTCTTAAGCTTTTTTTTTAGGTTTTATGTGGATAAGAGTGACCTTGCCCCACCTTGGGCACCATTTGCAGGCAGAGTTTTTTGACAGACCACCTTGTCCCACCAGCCACTCCCAAATAACCACACAGAGAATTAGTATTAATTATAAATCCTCAGCTGATAGGCTTGCTTTTAGCTAGCTCTTATAACTGAAATTAACCCATTTCTATTAATCTATGTGCTGCCCTGAGGCTTGCTTACCTCATCAATGTACTTTTCATGTTTCTTTCCCATCTAGCTTGTGACTCCCAAACTCCACCCTTTTTCCCAGCATTCTCTCTGCCCTCAAAATCTTGCCTACCTAATGGCTGTTTAACTTTTTTATTAAACCAATCACAGTGACATATTCATGCAGTGTAAAGGAATATTCCACAGTGTAACCATATTGTAGGCTACTTTGAGGATTACTTTTTAAATTTTCTTTCTCTCGTAGTGCTTTGGGAGTGTTTTTGTTAATTTGTTTTGCAGTGGATGGAGTGTTAGTCATGGAGAGAGAGAGGACAGGAGGCTCCCGAAATGTATAGAGTCCAAGAGTGTGGAGCATGGACAGAGCTCAGTCCTGGGAAACGAGTCAGGACATCTGATGAATGGTCTGCCAAATGGCAGCTCTTCCAACATCCAGGAACACATTCATGTTAACCTGTGACTCACAGAGTATCTGAAGTTGTAGATCCTTTCCATGAGCTGAGGATGGCCTTGTGTTGGGTCAAAGGAGAAACAAAGGAAGGTCAAGGAGGGAGATGGAGTCCTGGGCAGGGGATGAGGATGACAGAGAGGTGGGGATAGGGGATCAATACTGTTCAGGACCTCACCACAGGGTATAATAAAGGAACACAAAGAACTACAGTCTCAGTGTCAAATTCAATGTGACCGAGCAGAAGCAGCACCTACCATTTCTCGATGTAGTGTGCCCAAGCCTCCTAAGATGTATGTCAGCTCCCACACAGGCAGTGATGAGGTTGGGCAGGGACATCTGGGTGAAGAATGTAGCAGAAGCCAAGGTTAGACGTTCAGGGATCAGGGAAGCCGTCAGCCTGACTGGAATGCAGACTAGATGAGGAGGACTTCTGGGAGACCGGTCAAACAGAACAGATAGTGGTCAAAGGGGAACTGAGGAAAATCAGACAAAACTCCCTGGGCAGGAGCTTAGCCTGCAGGCAGCATGACCAGCCATGCGCTTGCAGGGAGGCCATCCTGCTTGCATCCAGGTTTGTCCTTATCTGGCCACTGAAGGCTAGGACATGGACACGAGGAAGGCTGAGACCTCTATGCTAGGTGACAGCTTACTTTCTGTCTCCTTCATTTCCTGCAGGTCCCTGCTGAGCAGCGTCTACTTCCAGCTCCTGGTCTTTCTGGAGGTGCCCCTGCTCCTGAGCATGCTTATTGCTGTCCTCTGGGTGAACAGGCCTCAGAGGTGCTCTGGGGGAGGTGAAGTTGGCCTGGTGAAAGTCCACAGTTCTGATGCCTGGTACAGAGAGAAATACCTCCATGTAGATAGAAAATAATCTCTGTCTATCTATCTATCTATCTATCTATCTATCTATCTATCTATCTATCTATCTATCTTTAGTGTGTGTGTGTGTGTGTGTGTGTGTGTGTGTGTGTGTGTGTGTGTGTGTGTGTTTACATTGTGGGTGCATATGTGTATGTAGAGGACAAAATCGGGTGTCATTCCACTAATGTCTGAGACAGGGTTTCTCATTGCCCTGGACCTTTGCCATGTAGGCCAGGCTAGCCGGTGGGGAACTCCAGGGACCTACCTGCCTCAGTTCCTATCTTGCCAATATGAGCACACACAACTGCCCTAGCTTTAACACACATACACACACACACACACACATACACACACACACACACACACACACACACACACACACACACACACACACACACACAAACACACACACACAAAACAAAACAAAACAAAACAAAAACATAGGTTGTAGTGATTAAACTCATGTCTTTGTACTTACAAGGAAGGCAAGCTCTTTACCAACTGAACCGTCTCTCCAGCCTAGAAAAGAATATTTCTATGAGGAAATGACTGTGGTCAGCAGTACCATGACTCTGGGTTCTGTGGGCTCAGCCCACAGACTATGCCCCCCTGCTATAGCAGGGACAGCTGAGGTTCTGGAACCCACTCAGGTTCTCCCTCTCAGAACATACTACAGTGCCTTCTGAGGCCTTTCTTCCTCTGATGGCCTCCAGTGGAGTAGAAAATACAAAAAAAGTCATGTTTCTTTTTAGGGCCCCAGTTCCTTGGAGGACACATGTCATTACAAGTCTGTGGGCCACCAGCCAGGTGTTTGATCAAATATCTGGGAAATGTGGCTTCACCAAGTGGCATAAAAGATTGCCACAGTTGTATGGATGTCTGTAGCTTACACAGAGAACATACTGCATTCTCTTTTGTCAACACAACCCAGTGTTGTGCGTTCCAAACTCAGATGGAGCAGTTGGCTGAGTCTCTGTGCACCTGTTTCCACGGGGTAGCTCAGGCTTGGTCCCTGAAGTCTAGACTCTCTGCCCAGTGAGACCAAATGGGGAGTGAACTGGGTGAAGGCTGCTGTCCCCTCAGGAGTCACGAGCTCATATCACCCCGTGGACCCCTCTAGGGCCGGTCTCCACACCAGGTCATTCAGCTGTCCTCCTGTTCCTTCAGAAGCATCTGTTCAATGTCTAAGCACTACACACCATGCAAATACAAGCTTCAAAATGAGAAAGACCTGGTTAAATTCCAGAGGAAACTGAAAGGTTCAAAGGCAAAGGCTCAGCCTGAAACTAGCTATTCCCAGCTCTCCAGCCTCAGCCATGCTGAGTTATGCACCCCACAACACGCAGTCTTCTTATCAGGCTGGGCTCTGACACCCACAGCCCAAACTCACACCTAACACGGACGTGCTCCCCACTTTGTGTGGGAAGAGACCCCATGTGAGCATCTCCTCCTGGATGACATGTTTGGACCTCTATCGAGTCTGCCTTAGTTGAGAGGAGGCTTTTCATTGCTTCAGTGGTGTAGGTGCTGGTCAGCTGCCCATGTCCAGTAAATAATCCCCACCCACACTCGATCCTAATTAAACCCAGTGGAACACACACACACACACACACACACACACACAGAGATGGTATGTAATCAAAAGAAGTGCTCATTACACGAAGATAGTGGCTCATGCCTTTAATCCCAACAGATCTCTAAGTTTAAGGCCAGCCTGGTCTACAGAGTGAGTTTCATGACTACACGGAGAAATCCTGTCTCAAAAAAAAAAAAAAAGAAAGTTTAAAAAAAGTAAAAAGAAAACAAGGAAAGAAGTGGGAATAGGAAGGAAGTTGAGGAAGGGTAATAGCAGTGAAAATGACTAATATTTATTGTATATATTTGTGAAGCTGTAAAAGAATTTTAAAATAATGAAATAAAAATTTAAAGAGGGAAGAGTTTCCCATCAGAGTGTCCCCACCTTCTTTCCACAGTAGATTTTGTCATCACAGCGTGTTTTATGCGTGTGATACTTATGCCCCCTTCTGCAAACAGCCCTCGTGGGTCCGTCCCCGCCCTTCCTATTTATGCAGATTCTTTGCCCGCACTGCTTCTCCTTTTCTTATTGCTCAACTTGCTGCCTTGTTGGCAAACTTTCACCATGACGCGTTTTGCTGTTCTAGAGGACCCGTGGGCATTGTATTTCTTCCTCCTCTCATGCTGTGATTGTCTGTGGCTGGAGGCCTAGAAAATCTGCCCTGGTGGTGAAACGCCAGACCTCTCTGTCATTTGCTCATGATATGAAGATAGATCTTTCCTCAAGTCTTCTGGGACAGATGTTCCTGAGCAGAAATGTGAGGCAGACACACTCCTGTCTCCCTCAAACACCCCTGGTCTGGCACAAACAGATCATGAAGAAACCACACAGCCCACTAATCCATCTCCTTTGCCTCCCATATCAGGGAAAACTAGAAGCAACTTCCCATGTTACACAGAAAACTGTAGCTGAGGTCTGTTATGGGGAGAGATCTTGTGAGACAGGTCCTGGTCATTTTCCCCAGCATGTTTCTTCTACCTGGAGTCTAGAACAGACTTTCTCTGACTCCCATAAGCCCTGGGTTCCAGGTCTCCAAGGCCACAGAACAATGAACCGGGGGGGGGGGGGGCTGAAAAGGAGAAGATCTGGTGGCAGCCACAGTGTCCTGCCTCCCGTCTCACGGCCTCCTTCATCTACAAACAGCTGTATCTCCAGACCTCAGAAAAGATCATCCACATCCTATCTGATTTTCCTTGGAGTTTTGTCCTTAAAAAATAATTAAGTGTGTGTGTGTGTGTGTGTGTGTGTGTGTGTGTGTGAATGAGTATGTATGTGTGTGTGTGTAATGGTATGCACACACACCTACAGTGTGTGTGGATTGCCATAGCACAAATTTAGAGGTCAGAGAACACTTTTATACAATTGGTCCTCTCCTCAGCCTTTCCTTGGGTTCCAGGGACAGAACTAGGGGTGCTGGCATTTGCTTACTCAACAGTAATTTCACTCAGTTATCCTTTTTTTTTTTTAAATTCCTCCCTCTGCCTTTTGTTAAATTCTTCAACTTCTTCCCAATTTCAAGCCTTAAGATACAGTGGCTCAGGGTTCAGAAACGTGACAAGGAATAGTTGGTGCCAAGTGTAGGGGAAGGGAAGGAAGGCATGTTCTGGAGCCACCTCAAGGCCAGAGCATCACTGGAGTCCTGAGATCGCAGTCACCATACTGCCAGGTACCCTGGTATGAGTTTCTTTTTGTAATTAAAATTTTTATTTTATGTGCATGGGTATTCAGCCTGCATATTTTTCTGTGTACTACATGTGATCCTGGTGCCCACAGAGGCCAGAAGAAGCCAGAGGATCCCTTGGAACTAGAGTTACAGATGGTTGTGAGCTGCTCTATAAACGCTGGAATCAACCCTGGCTGGTGGAACAGTGGCAGGTGCCCTTAACCGCTGAGCCATCTCTCCAGTTCCTGCCATGAGTTTTTTATTTATTATTATTATCATTTTAAATAATGTGTGTCTGTATGTGGGTATGTGCATGTGAGTGCAGGTGTCCAGGGAATCCAGAAAAGGGTGCAGATTCCCTAGCTGGAGCTCAGGTGGTGGTAAGCCACCTGGGGGCAGGGATGCTGGGAACTGAACTCAGGTCCTCTGCAAGAGCAGCATCCATTCTTTTTTTAATTTTTATTTATTCATTCATTTTACATGTATGGGTCTTTTGATTGCACACATGTCTGTGCACCGTATGCATGTCTAGTGCCACACAGAGGCAAGAGGAGGGCGTCAGCTTTCCTGGAACTAGAGTTAAGGATGGTTGTAAGCCTCTATGTAGGTGCTGAGTGTTGAACCCAGGTCCTCTGGAAGAACAACAACTTAGCCACTGAGCCATCCCTCCAGCCCCTGGCATGGTTTCTGACAAGGACAGACACTGTCCATCATGTATCCAAACTGGCCACACCAATTAATAATGAAAGGGGCATAATGAACAAATTAACGATTCTCCCCTAGCCCCACTGAGAATTATGTGAAGTCTCTCAAGGTAATTCCTTTGTTATTATTCAAGAAATATTTATTAAGAGCCTACTAAGTGCCAAGCCCTGGTATAAACAAAAAGGTAGAATGGCGGCCCTCATGGAGCTTACATTCTGTCCCAAGCACATAAAAGACTTGCAAGTTGTAATAAGCTCAGTGGAGGAACCAAACCAGGTGAAGAGATGCAGGGTGGTCGTGCAAGTCCTCTCTGGGGACATGGCTTTTCATCTGGGACCCATGGGGGAGTGCTGTAGAATGGCAGCCAAATAATCTGCTTTAAAACCACTAAATGAACCAGGGGGTAGAAATGCATGCCCTTAATCCCAGCACTCGGTGGGTAAGGGAGACAGATCTCTGTGAGTTCGAGTCCTACCTGGTCTACAGAGTGAGTCCCAAGACAGTCAGGACTATATAGAGAAATCTTGTCTCAAAAAAAAAAAAAAAAAAAAAAAAGATGATGAGAGAAGGTCACCAAGATAGAGGCAGAAATTGGATCATGAGGTAACAGTGTCAATCACAAATAGGAAAAAGCCAACCTCTGTGTCAGTCAAGGATAAGCTGATCCATCTGTTTGCCTGATCTATCCATCTATCCATCAATCTGTTCTAGTTTGTTGCTGTTGTTGTGATAAAACACTGACCGAAACCGACTTGGTGGGAGGGCAGGCTCTATCTGGCTTCAATTTCACGGTCCTGCATTCTGAAGGACGCGTATGGGAACTCGGCAGGAACCTGGAGGCAGGAACTGAAAAAGAGGCCACGGGAACGCTGCTTACTGGCCTGCTCTACATGGCTTACTCAGCCTGCTTTCTTGTAGAACCCAGGACCACCTGCCCAGGGGTGGCATCACATATGGTGGCTGAGCCCTTCCATATCAATTAGCAATCAAGAAAATATTTGGTCACAATAGTAAGAAAAATAACTAATACAAGGCCTTTGATAAAAGAAGGAAAGAAGAAAAAGAAGAGAAATATAATGACAGACAGACAGACAGGTGATAGTGTTTAGTAAGTTTTTTTTCAACTTGATACAAACTAGAGACTCCTGGATGAAAGAACCTCTATTGAGCAATGGCCTCCATTAGACTGGACCAATGAGCAAGTCTGTAGGGATATTTTCCTATAGCAATATAATATGAATGATATCTTGGTTGTATATTCTGTCTCTCTCTGTGTCAGTGTCTGTCTGTCTGTTTCTCTCTCTCTCTCTCTCTCTCTCTCTCTCTCTCTCTCTCACACACACACACACACACACACACACACACACACACACACACACGGACAAAGACACACACCCCACCCAAATACACATGTGCAAAAAGTAAACACAATCACATATACAGAACTTAGTCCCCCTGTTTCCATGGATACCTTCTCTCCCTGTCCCCTTACTTCCTAGCCCCTCAGTCTCAAGTCCAGGGTCTGACAAAGACAGTGTCCCTCCTCAGCCTCCTCTAAAATAGAGGTCACTTTAGGACCGGATCCCAGGGAGCCTCAAGCCTGGCCCACGTGAGAAGCCAGAACCCATACTCATGTTTCCCAGGATCCTTCATCCTGCTCTGGCCCAGCACTGTACAAGTCCCCATGGGGGGAATTTCTGAGAAGAGGAATACAGGACACGACAATGTGTTTACCATCCACATTTACCACCCAGGAGGATTAACAAGATCCAAGATACAAAGAGGAGACTGGACAAGCATCCATCAGAATAGTCCCATGAACCTCCCATTCACAATGAACTCAAGAGGGTTTCACTGGAGCAACACAGGCACATATGGGGTGGGATTCACAAAAGTGAAGGAGATGGTTCCTCTCCTCACGGAGATGGAGCAAGATAAGATGGACAGATCTCAAGTCAGCTCAGGAAGTGACTTATCACAGAGGATGGATAGCATCAGCAAAAAAGGAAATGCTCTCCAGGGCTGACCATGAGTGGCAAGGTAGTGAAGCCCTTAGCTGAAGGCTAGGGGACAGGTGACATCCTCAATCCATGGTTGGGGATGTGTCCCTCACTGGGAGTGATAGGAACCTGTGCCCCTGAGTCCTGGAGCATCTTCAGAGCACTTCCTGTACCAGTTCATCTGGAGCCTCCCAGAGGACCAGGAAGCAGAGGACAGAAAGGAGAAGTCGGCATGTGAACACTGAACTGTCTAGAAGGACACTGCTCCTCCTCCTCTTGGACTTGGTGTGGGCAGGAGACATCAGAGCTGAAGAAATGACCCCAAGAGTGATGGGAGTGTGGCTGCCTTCAGCTCTGCTCCTCTTGCAGGTTGCAGGTGAGCAAGGGGACAGGGGTGAAGGGTTACAAATTGAAAGGGGAACTCCTGGTGTAAGCAAGAGGGCAGGACAGGGGGGATGAGAGGTGGGAGAGAGCAGCCAGCAGGATAAGATGGGGCCAGAGAGAAGACAAGGAGTGGGGGTGGGTAGGAGTGGCCAGCATCACCTCACAGGTGCTGTCAGGATTCAGTGCACAGTACAGTCATGACTACCACACTGAGACAGTCAGGACCTCCTGAGAGGGTTAGCTGTGACAGACATTACCATAACACCACACAATCTCTATTGTGTACACACATGTGCATACATGTGTGTGTGCATACCAAAGACACACACAAGCACTGATTCTCACAGAGACATACACTCATATATGTACATAGGTAAAATGAATCTCTCTCTCTCTCTCTCTCTCTCTCTCTCTCTCTCTCTCTCTCACACACACACACACACACACACACACACACACACACACACACACACAGAGTGTTGTTTCCTCCAGGGTCCTTCCTTTCTCAAGGGACAAGCCTTGTCCCTGCCCCCTCTTCCGGACAACACAGGTGCTCACCTCAGTCCTGACTTCTGGGTCTGACAAAGCCTGTCTCCTTTCTCCATGCTTGCTCCAGACCAGACAGCTCTCTAGGAGATGACCAAGGGGGGCCTGACCCCATCCAGCTGTGAGGGTGCAGAATTGGGGCTGGTGTTTTCCAGACTGTGTCCCTCTGCGTGGCCCCAGCAAGGTGACAGGCACTGTGGGGGAGTCCCTGAGTGTGCGGTGTCAGTACGAGGAGGAACACAAGACTAATGACAAATACTGGTGCAGAGTGACTATGCTACCATGCAAAGGTCTTGTCAAGACCAGAGCCTCAAAAGAAGCTGGGAAAGGCCGAGTGTCCATCAGGGACCATCCAGCCAACCTCACCTTCACAGTGACCTTGGAGAACCTCACCCTGGAGGATGCAGGCACCTACAAGTGTGGGGTGGACATGCCACTTATTGATGATTCCTTAGGGATCTATCCCTTCTTGGGGATTGATGATGATTCCCTCAAGGTTGTGGTGTCCGTGGTCCCAGGTAAGCACCCTTCATGTCAGGGCACCCTGAGTCCAGGTCAGTCATTCCCTCATGAAGGAAGGAAGGCAGATACAAGAGCATGGTGAGCTTGGTGAATCAGTGACTCAGGCCACAGGGAGTGTGAGTCCACGTGTGCCTTGTGAGAGCATGTGTGGTATATGTGATAGGGTATGTACACCAATACATGTGTGTATGTGTACACACAGGCACAATGGGGAACCTGAGTTCTTAGAAACTCTCTTTTAATTACATTTATGTATTTACTTACTTACTTACTTACTTACGACTTACTTTGGGGACTTGCCGTGGTGTGTGTCAGCCAGAGGAGAACTTCTGGCACTTAGTTCTCTTTACACATGTGGTCCTGGGGCTCGAACTCAGGTCACCAGGCTTGGCAAGCAGAGCCTTTACCATGGAACTGTCTCATCAGCACCTGTTAGAGATTCTCTGTGTGTTCATGCGACAGTGTAAGGCCTGAACATTTCTAGAGAAAAGTCCTGAACCACTGGCACTTTGTGATTTCCTGTACTGATAGGAGACAAGTCCTCTCTCCAATTGATAATTTGTTCCTAACCAATCTCCGTATGGGAACAGTAACCAGCGCATCTGCTCCCCTCTCTCAAAGCCTGCTCTGGTCTGGGACTGAGTGGACACTTCCCTTCCATAGAGGTCCTGAGGGAGCAGCCTCATCACAGTGTTTGTGGGTCTTCTGATAGGAACTAGAGATACAAAAAGGAGGGTAGATTGTATATCGGGGTTCTTGATCCCTGAAGAATCCATTCAACTACTCCAAGTTCCCCTGCATCCCCCTTTCCCAGGAACCATTTACTGCAGGAAAAATCTCAGGGAATCCCCCAAATGTTCCCCTTCCCAGGCAGAGGGTGAAGCTGGATGGAAGACAGTCTCTCAGCTCCTTTGGTCCCAATGTTCTCCATGTCTGCAGTCATTCTCCCCTAATGGAGCCTCCCTTGTTTACAGAACCCTAACTAGTGCATCTCTTTAAGAGCAGGGTGGTGGCAGGGGCTGAAGGAGATGAACTGCTCTGTTATTCCCAGTTTTTTCTTTTCTGAGAGAGGGTCTTGTGTAGCCCAGGTTGACCACAAACTCACTATGTAGTTGGGGTTCATCTTGAATGACTGATCTTCCTGACTCTGCCTCTCTGGCACTGGGATTACAGGCTCCCATCACCATAAGCAGCTTCCTGTTCTGGTTCTCAATTTTGTTTCCCCTCATAAAATCTTCCCTTCAAAATCCTCTGTGGGTTCATAGTGAGGAGTGTGGAACCAAATCCCACTGGTGTCTGCTGTGGGATGGTCTGTATGTCAAGTGTGTTGCTGATTGGTCAATAAATCACTGATTGGTCAGTGGCTAGGCAGGAATTATAGGCGGAACAAGGAGGAGAATAAAGCTGGGAAGTGGAAGGCTGAGTCAGAGAGACACTGCCAGTCGCCACGATGACAAACAGCATGTGAAGATGCCAGTAAGCCACGAGCCACGTGGCAAGGTATAGATTTATAGAAATGGATTAATTTAAGCTGTAAGAACAGTTAGCAAGAAGCCTGCTATGGCCATACATTTTGTAAGCAATATAAGTCTCTGTGTTTACTTGGTTGGGTCTGAGCAGCTGTAGGACTGGCAGGTGAGAGAGATTTGTCCTGACAGTGGGCCAGGCAGTAAAACTCAAGCTACAGGTGTCTCTAGTTCCCCTCAGTGGAGGCCACTCTCCACAGGGTCCTTCAAGCATCTATCTTTCTAAAACATTCCATCTGTCCATTCCTTAGAAAAAACTGCCCAGTGGCCTGTCTAGGTGGCAGTATGGAAATGACTGGGCCAGGCAGACAGAGTCCTACCACTCTGTGTCTGTCCCCAGAAGGATGGAAGACAAGGAGGCAAAAGGTGTGACTGAGGCCAGAAGGGACCTGGCTCCAAGTGTCTTGTCAATGACACTTAAACTCTCTTCTATAGGAAGACTGGCCTCAAGTTTGAAAGTGCCAACCAGCCCCAATGCACCATGGGAAAGGCTGGGAAGGGAAGCCCTGACCAGGACTTGGTGGGGCCATGAGGCTTGTAGGCTGTCACACAGCTGTCCAACCTGTCCCTAGGGACCTGTGTGCAGCAGAGCTGCAGAGGTTTCAGTGGGGAGGTGATGGAGTGGAGGTCACTGGGACAGTCTGTGTTTCTATCCTTAGCTCCAGTCACAGTCTCTTTACCCAAGATCATAGCAAATATCCTGGGGTCCCCCACATCCTCACCAGTGCACACTCAGTCCAGCATGACCACAGAGGATACAACTCCTGGTCCCAGCCTACAACCCCGGTGAGGAACCCTGAGGGCTCTGGATTGGGGGTGGGGGTAATGCTGGGAGGTGGAGGTAGAAGGGTTTGGATCTCCCTCCTTGGGCATCTCCTGCATCTTCCAACCCCACACTGACCAGGGGAGTGTCTTGTGAACAACAGCTGCTCATCTACAGATTGGGACACAGCAATGTCACCCAGACCCAGACCTGCTGAGATGGAGTTAGTTTCCTGTCAAGAGGTTACTACACAAACACACCCAGAGTCTGGGGAGATGGCTCTGCTGGTAAAGGATCTGAGTTCGAGCCTCAGAACCCACATGTCAGGCATGGTGGCATACACTTGAAATACTTTCCCTGTGGAGGTGGAGACAGGAGGATCCATGAGACTCACTGGCCAGTCAGCCTTGACTACTTGGCAAGTTCCAGGCCAACGTGAGATCCTTTCAGATAACAAGATAGATGGATCAGGTGTGGTGACTCATGCCTTTATTCCAGCACTTGGGAGGCAAAGGCAGGCCAGTCTGAGATGAAAATCAGCCTGGACTACACAGGAAATTCCATTCTAGCCAGAACTGCGTAGTGAGGCTGGTCCCAACACAAACGTAACAAGGTGATGATTCCTGAGGAATGACACCCAAGGGATTCCTCTAGCCTCCACGTTCATGTACACACATGTGCACCTGCATACACACACATGAACACACACAGCAGCAAATTAATGAACTAACTAATGAAAATAAATACAGCCACTGGTTTGTGGTGGGACAAACATTTAACCTCAGTACTTGTAAGGTAGAGAAATGTGGATCTCTATGAGTTGAAGGCCATCCTGGTCTACATAGTGAGTTCCAGGACAGCCTGGGCTACGTAATAGAGAAACGATGTCCCCCCAAAAAAACCAATAAATAGCAAAATAACAGGATAACAAAGAAGAGCCACCAGGAGGAAATAGGGGAACTCAGTTTAGAAGAGAGTTGGGGTCTGGGTGGAGGAGGCAGCACCTGCCTGCATAGAGGCCTTAGGAGTGGAGGTCCATGGACAGATTGAGCCAGACCCACAGTTCCAGGCTACTTCTTGGGCTATCAGTCACACTGGTCATCAGGCAGGGTTCCTTGTCCTTGTCCTTGAAAAGAGCACCTTGGACACATACCTGGGTAAAGAGACCGGCACACAGTGCAGGGCACCATCACCACCTTCTGGGAAATGAGCTTATTGTGACCTTGTCCCCACAGGCCCCTGCTGAGCAGCATCTACTTCCAGGTCCTGGTCTTTCTGGAGGTGCCCCTGCTCCTGAGCATGCTCAGTGCCGTCCTCTGGGTGAACAGGCCTCAGCGGGACTCTGGGGAGATGCAGCATTGTCCCGATTATGAGAATCAGTGAGGTCTGTTGACGTCAAAGCCCTGTCCAAGTCCCTGGACACAGCTCTTCTGGTGGCAGAGGACAACAAATAAAACTGTGTTCCTGAGAATACTCTGAGATTTTTTAGAAGACTCTTTTGATGTGTCAAATACATAAAAGAATGTGCCCTATAAATACATATACATACATATTTTAATAGACTATCTTTACTTAGCTGTGGATTTCTGTTTAAGCAGTTTAATTCTGATGAACATAAATATTACCAGAATATTTTTCCTTACTGACATAGGAAAGTAACGGTATTCTCAGTCTCAAAAACAGCCTTTTACATATTTTGCAAAGACCTTAGAACTAGTCCAAAACAGACTAAGCTGCCCCTACAGAAGGTACACAAAGACTAATTCCCAGATGTTGTTCATTGCTGAGTCAAGGCCAGGCTGTTTACACGAAGACTCAGTCCTTGCAGTAGTTCCCTTTCTGCTGCTGGTGCATACAGGTCCCTGACAGCTCAAGGTTCAGCCGGTTGTTTCATGTCTTGGACCCCTCACCAACTTAGAGCTATGTGCATGGGTCAATGTGCCAATACTAGCCTAGGAGAAACTAAGTGGCTTATCGTGTGTTTTGAGAATGGGTAGGACCCTGAAAATGTGATTTATAATTATCCAGTGTTTGGCAGAGAGGGAGCAGCAGCATCGGTGTGAAGAGATACAGCTGTGTAGAGCTATGTGAGAGCTGCTGCAGAATGTGTGTGTGTGTGTGTGTGTGTGTGTGTGTGTGTGTGTGTGTGTGTGTGTGTGTGTGCTGAGTGAGAGATGAAGAGAAGAAGCATGAGAGAATTGTAAGGAAATAAATGGGTGAAAGAATGAGTGAGTAAAGAGCCAGGAAATTATATAGAAGCGTGTGTGTGTGTGTGTGTGTGTGTGTGTGTGTGTGTGTGTGTGAGAGAGAGAGAGAGAGAGAGAGAGAGAGAGAGAGAGAGAGAGAGAGAGAGAGAGAGAGAGAGATCACTGTGTGGAAGAGCTGCTGCTACGTAGAGAAGCTGTGCCCAGAAACTGTGTAAAGTGCCGTATGGAGAGACGGCCATAAATGAGATGCTTAGCTGTGGTTAGTGGAGATTAGTGACTGTGTGGACATGGAAGATGAAGCTGCATATAAAAGAGATGTAGAAGAGAAATGCATGTCAAAGAAATTGTGTAGCCATGTGAAGAGATGTGTGTCTGTAAAGATATGCAGCTGTATGCAGCAATGTGGACATATGTAACTGTGTGGAGACTGAAGAGTCAGAAGCCTTTTTAACATTAAGTAAAAGAGAAAGTTAACAACAGAAATCGTGTGTGTTTCCTTATTTGACCAGTAAGAGATGAATAAAATTTATTTCTAAATACCCTCAGATAGAAACAGTCTAGCCCTCGCTGCCTTAGTAGATTCTCTTGCATTACCCTGGAGGGGGCCTTGGAGCAGGCTCTCCATAAAGCCCCCAATACCTTCATTCTGCTCAGTCCTAGCACTGCACAGGTTCCCAAAGGGGGAATTCCTGAGAAGGGGAATACAAGACATGACAATGTGTTTACCATCCATATTTACCACCTCTGTGGTTAACAAGACCAAAGATGCAAAGAGTAGACTGGCCAAGCACTCATCCTCATTGTCCCATGAACCTCCCATTCACAATGAACTCAAGAGGGTTTCACTGTGAGTGACACAGGCACAAATGGTGTGGAATTCACAAGAGTGAAGGAGATGGTTCCTCTCCTCATGGAGATGGAGCAAGATAAGATGGACAGATCTCAAGTCAGCTCAGGAAGTGACTTATCACAGAGGATGGACAGCATGAACAAAAAGAAAATGCTCTCAAAGGCTGGCCAGAGGTGGGAAGGTTGTGAAGCCCTTAGATGAAGGCTGGGGGACAGGTGGCATCCTCAATCCATGGTTGGGGATGTGTACCTTCACTGGGAGTGATAGGAACCTGTGCCCCTGAGTCCTGGAGCATTCAGAGCAATTCCTGTACCAGTTCATCTGGAGCCTCCCAGGGGACCAGGAAGCAGAGGACAGAAAGGAGAAGTCGGCATGTGAACACTGGACTTTCGAGAAGGAGACCGCACCCCCCTTGTCTTGGGCTTGGTGTGGGCAGGAGACATCAGAGCTGAAGAAATGCTCCCAAGAGTGATGGGAGTGTGGCTGCCTTCAGCTCTGCTCCTCTTTCAGGTCCCAGGTGAGCACAGGGACAGGGGTGTGTGTGGGGTTACAGCTCTGAAAGGGGAACTCCTGGAGTAAGTGAGAGGGCATGATGGGGGATAGCAGGTGGGAGAGAGCAGCCAGCAGAGGAAGATGGGCCAGAGTGAAGACAAGGACTTAGGGTGGGCAGGAGTAGCCAGTGTCACCTCACAGGTGCTGTCAGGATTCAGTGCACAGTACAGTCATGACTACCACACTGAGACAGTCAGGACCTGCTGAGAGGGTTAGCTGTGACAGACATTGTCATAAAAGCACACGATCTTTATTGGGTATACACATATATTTGCATACGTGTGTATGCATACCAAAGACACACACAAGCACTGATTCCTGCATAGACACGTCACACCCACAGAGACATACACCACTTATAAGTACATAGGTAAAGACTATCTCATTCCCTCCCTTTGTCTCTCTTTCTTTCTCTGTCTCTCTCTCTGTCTCTCTCTCTCTCTCTCTCTCTCTCTCTCTCTCTCTCACACACACACACACACACACACACACACACACACACACACACACACACACAGAGTGTTGTTTCCTCCAGGGCCCTTCCTTTCTCAAGGGACAAGCCCCCTCCCCGTCCCCTCTTCCTGACAACACAGGTGCTCACCTCAGTCCTGACTCCTGGGTCTGACAAAGCCTGTCTCCTTCCTCGATGTTTCCTCCAGACCAGACAGCTCTCTAGGAGATGACCAAGGGGGGCCTGACCACCATCCACCTGTGAGGGTGCAGAATTGGGCCTTGTGTTTTTCAGACTGTGTCCCTCTGCGTGGCCCCAGCAAGGTGACAGGCACTGTGGGGGAGTCCCTGAGTGTGCGGTGTCAGTACGAGGAGGAACACAAGACTAACGACAAATACTGGTGCAGAGTGTCACTGCTAACACCATGTAAAGAGATTGTCAAGACCAGAGCCTCAAAAGAAGCTGGGAAAGGCCGAGTGTCCATCAGGGACCATCCAGCCAACCTTACCTTCACAGTGACCTTGGAGAACCTCACCCTGGAGGATGCAGGCACCTACAAGTGTGGGGTGGACACGCCATTTTTTGATGACAGATCCTCTGTGAAAATCAATCCCTCCTTTGGGATTGATAACTCCTTCAAGGTTGTGGTGTCCGTGGTCCCAGGTAAGCTCCCTTCATGTCAGGGCATCCTGAGTCCAGGCCTGTCATTCCCTCATTAAGGAAGGAAGGCAGATACAATAGCATGGTGAGCTTGGTGAATCAGTGAATCAGGCCACAGGGAGTGTGAGTCCACGTGTGCCTTGTGAGAGCATGTGTGGTATATGTGATAGCATATGTACACCAATACATGTGTGTGCGTGTACACACAAGCACAATGGGGAACCTGAGTTCTTAGAAACTCTCTTTTTATTACATTTAGTTAGTTAGTTAATTAGTTAGTTAGTTGGACTAGCCCATGGTGTGTTTCAGTCAGAGAACTGGCACTTAGTTCTGCCTCCACAGTGTTGTCATGGGGCTCAAACTCAGGTCATCAGGCTTGACAAGCAGAGTCTTTATCCACCGAGCTGTCTCATCAGCTGATCTGTGTGTCCCATGTGACAGTCTCAGGCCAGAGACAAGCCCTGAACCACTGGCTTTTTGTGACTTCCTGTCCTGATAGCAGACAAGTCCTCTCTCCCAGGTCTCACTTGGTCCTGTCCCCAACTCATGTGGGAACAGTACGCCAGAGTATCTGCTCCCCTCTCTCAAAGCCTGCTCTGGTCTGGGACTGAGTGGACACTTCCCTTCCATGGAGGTCCTGAGGGAGCAGCCTCATCACAGTGTTTGTGGGTCTTCTGATAGGAACCAGAGATACAAAAAGGAGGGTAGATTGTATATCAGGGTTCTTGATCCCTGAGGAATCCATTCAACTACTCCAAGTTCCCCTCCATCCCCCTTTCCCAGGAAACATTTACTACAGAAAGAAACTCAGGGAATCCCCCAAAAGTGCCCCTTCCCAGGCAGAGGGTGAAGCTGGATGGAAGACAGTCTCTCAGCTCCTTTGGTCCCAATGTTCTCCATGTCTGCAGTCATTCTCCCCTAATGGAGCCTCCCTTGTTACAGACTCCTAACTAGTGCAGCATCTCTTTAAGGGCCGGGTGGTGGAGGGGCTGAAGGGGCTGAACTGCTCTGTTATTCCCAGTTTTCTCTTTTCTGAGAGAGGGTCTTGTGTAGCCCAGGCTGGCCACAAACTCACTGTGTACCTGGGGTTCATCTTGAATGACTGATCTTCCTGACTCTGCCTCTCTGGCACTGGGATTACAGGCTCCCATCCCCACACCCAGCTTCCTGTTCTGGTTCTCAGTTTTGGTTTCCCCCTCAAAAAAACTTCCCTCCAACATCCTCTGTTGGTTCACAGTGAAGTGGGTGGAACCAAATCCTGCTGGTGTCTCTAGTTCCCCTCAGTAGAGGCCACTCTCCACAGGGTCCTTCAAGCATCTGTCTTTCTAGAACTTTCCATCTGGCCATTCCTCAGGAAAGACTTCCCAGTGGCCTGTCTAGGTGACAGTGTGGGAATGAGGGGGCCAGGCAGACAGAGTCTCACCACTCGGTGTCTGTCCCCAGAAGGATGGAAGACAAGGAAGCAAAAGGTGTGACTGAGGCCAGAAGGGACCTGGCACCAAGTGTCTTGTCACTGACACTTAAACTCTCCTCTACAGGAAGACTGGCCTCAAGTTTGAAAGTGCCAACCAGCCCCAATGCACCATGGGAAAGGCTGGGAAGGGAAGCCCTGACCAGGACTTGGTGGGGCCATGGGGCTTGTAGGCTGTTACACAGCTGTCCACCGTGTCCCTAGGGACCTGTGTGCAGCAGAGCTGCAGAGGTTTCAGTGGGGAGGAGATGGAGTGGAGGTCACTGGGACAGTCTGTGTTTCCATCCTTAGCTCCAGTCACAGTCTCTATACCGAAGATCATAGCAAATATCCTGGGGTCCCCCACATCCTCACCAGTGCACACTCAGTCCAGCGTGACCACAGAGGATACAACTTCTGGTCCCAGCCTACCACCCCGGTGAGGAACCCTGAGGGCTCTGGATTGGGGTGGGGGTAATGCTGGGAGGTGGAGGTAGAAGGGTTTGGGTCTCCCTCCTTGGGCATCTCCTGCATCTTCCAATCACACACTGACCTGGGGAGTGTCTTGTGAACAACAGTTGCTCATCTACAGATTGGGACACAGCAATGACACCCAGACCCAGACCTGCTGAGATGGAGTTAGTTTCCTGTCAAGAGGTGACTACACAAACACACCCAGAGTCTGGGGAGATGGCTCTGCTGGTAAAGGATCTGAGTTCGAGCCTCAGCACCTACATGTCAGGCATGGTGGCATACACTTGAAATACCTGAGCTGTGGAAGTGGAGACAGGAGAATCCCTGAGACTCACTTTCCAGCCAGCCTAGACTACTTGGCAAGCTCCAGGCCAATGTGAGATCCTTTCAGATAACAAGATAGATGCATCAGGTGTGGTGACTCATGCCTTTATTCCAGCACTTGGGAGGCAAAGGCAGGCCAGTCTAAGAGATGAAACTCAGCCTGGACTTCATAACAAATTTCATTCTAGCCAGAGCTGCATAGTGAGACCTGTTCCAACACCAACATAACAAGGTGATGATTCTTGAAGAATGACACCCAAGGTTATCCTACATACACACACATGAACACACACACACACACACACACACACACACACACACACACACACACACACACCGGTAAATTAATTTATTAACTGATGAAAATAAATACAATCACTGGTTTGTTGTGGCACAAGGCTTTAACACCAGTACTTGGGAGAACAAGGCAGGTGGATCTCTGTGAGTTGAAGGCCATCCTGCTCTACATAGTGAGTTCCAGGACAGCCTGGGCTACATAAAAGAGAGACCCTTCCCCCTATCTTCCAAAAAACCAACCAACCAACCAAACAAACAAACACATAAATAAATAACAAAGAAGAGCCACCAGGAGAAAATAGGGGAACTCAGTTTAGAAGAGAGTTGGGGTCTGGGTGGAGGAGGCAGCGCCTGCCTGCATAGAGGCCTTAGGAGTGGAGGTCCATGGACAGATTGAGTCAGACCCACAGTTCCAGGCTAATTCTTGGGCTATCAGTCACACTGCTCAATCAGGCAGGGTTCCTTGTCCTTGTCCCTGAAAAGAGCACCTTGGACACACACCTGGGTAAAGAGACAGGCACACAGTGCAGGACACCATCACCACCTTCTGGGAAGGGAGCTTATTGTGACCTTGTCCCCACAGGCCCCTGCTGAGTAGCATCTACTTCCAGGTCCTGGTCTTTCTGGAGGTGCCCCTGCTCCTGAGCATGCTCAGTGCCGTCCTCTGGGTGAACAGGCCTCAGCGGTGCTCTGGGGAGAAGCAGCACTGTCCCGATTATGAGAATCAGTGAGGTCTGTTGACGTCGAAGCCCTGTCCATGTCCCTAACACAGCTCTTCTGGTGGCAGAGGACAAGAAATAAATCTGTGATTCTGAGAATACTCTCAGATTTTTACAAGACTCTTTTTGCTGTGTCAAATGCATAAAAGAATGTGCCCAATAAATGCATATACATACACATTATAATAGAATATCATTGTTTATTCTTAGATAATTTCACACATGTACAACAGAACTCTATCATATCTTCCTCCAACCCCACCCTCCCCCTCCCTCATGTGTTCCCTCCTCCCCTTCGTGGTCCATTCCCTTCCTTCCATTCTTCTCTTTCTCTTCCTAACCCACTGAATCCATAGTGCCACCCACCGGAATGCTAACCGATCTTGCTGTCTTGGTCTTGGACAGGTGACCACAGTCACAATGTCATGAGTGCAGTGACCATGCCTCAGCCAGATCGCTGCTTCTCACACCCCTCTCCTCCTCACCTCTGGCTGTTGAATGCTTTCCTCTCCTTCTTCCTTCCATAATGTTCCTGAGCCTTGGGATAGGATGGGGTTGCTTGGGGTATGATGAAGGCGCCTTCTAGTAACACGGAGGTGCCTTGGGGTGGCGTAGGCTAGGGTTTGATATACATGTCCCGTTTACGGCTGAGCACTCATTTGTCACATTTTCTCAGCACCAAGACCACAGCAGAGGGAAGCTTCTCCAACCCAGGCTGAGGACCGCGCTAATCAGAGTTTATGGACATAGATATTTAGAGGGCAGTTTGACAACATGTCCAATAAATAGATAGAGCTCACATGCAAATACTCTTGACACTGTGCCCTCCTCCAGATGCAGTAATAGAATGTGGTCTATACTGACGATCCTCCTCTCTGATGTCACATACCTGCTTTCTATTCTCCTTGGTGACTACCTCAACCTGGTATTTTTTTTCTGCTGGTTTAAGGTTTTGTCACATACTTGCACATGGGTTTGCCCAGGGTGTATTGTTTAGTGTCTCTGTTTGGGGTTTTTATATAGACAGAATTATACTTTCTTTTCTAGAGACAGGGTCTCATTATGGAGTCCTGGTCTAAAACTCGCTATGTTGACCAAGCTGGCCTTTAACTCACAGAGATTCACCAGCACCAGCTGCCTATACCAGTGTTACCCTCTTTTCCCTCAGTGTTCAGGAGTAAATCCAAAGCCTGACATGCAGAACAAGCACTTTGTCACAGAGATGCACCCCAGCCCTCTTACTCTGTCTAACTATTTATCTATCTGTGTGTCTGTCTGATGGTGTGTCTGTCTCTACATCTCTCTCCCTTTCTCCTCCTTTCTTTCCTTCCTTCTTCCATTTCTTTCATTAGCAGGGTCTCACTGTGTAGCCCAGGCTAGTTTCCAGCTCTTCATCCTCCTGCCTCAGCCTCCCTAGTTCTGGAATTATGGGCATGTGCTACCATGCCCAGTTCACATGCCTCATTTCTAAGTCTTTGGTTTTATCATTTGACATCGTTGTGTCTTTGAGGTCCATGCACACTGATGTGTTGACACTGTACTGTGCATCTTGTTTGTGTTGCTCTGGTTGGCTGTGTTAGCACACTATTACATCGTTTTCCTCTGCGGTTAAACACTTTGGAGTATCCTTTTCCTTTTCTTCTGCCTCCTTCCTTCCTCCTTCTCTCCCCTCCTCCCCCATCCTGTGTTTGTGATGAAACAGAACACAGATGGATGACTCTGGTCATAAGCATGTGTCCTGAAGGCCTGCTTTCTATGTGGGTTCTGCAGATCCAATTCAAGACCTTTTGCTCATACAGCAATCATTTCATTGACTGACCTACCTCCCCAGTCACCTTTTTTCATATCTTTTGATAAATGACTTTTAATTATAATGTACCAAATTAGTCTACTGATTATACTTTTTGCCTCTCATTTAAGAAATTATTAATACCAAGCCAAGCACATGTCTGTAATCCCAGCACTCGGGAGGTAGAGGCCTGATTTCTGGAGTTTAGTCATCCTCAGCTACACTGTCAGTTCCAGTTCAGCCTGGGCTCCATAGGACTCAGTCTCCAAAAACAAGCAGGGCCTGGAGAGATGGCTCAGCAGTTAGGAGCACTGGCTGTTCTTCCAGAGGACCCAGGTTTGATACCCAGCACCCATATGGCAGCTCACAACTGTCTATAACTCCAGATGATCCAATGCCCTTTTCTGGCCTCTGTGAGCACTGTCCTGGTGTAAAGACATGCACTGAGGCACAGACATCCATACACATAATAATAAATAAGGGCATTTTTAAACAAACAATCAAAAGCCTCAGAGAGGATGAAGAAGAAGAGGAGGAGGAGTAAGAGGGGGGATAGTAACAGCAACAGAAATAAATGGAAGTGATATCCTAAAAATTAATTGTTTTTCTGTTTCTTGTAAACATTTTTATATCTCACATTTTTATTTATTACTATTTAGTATGTTTGTGGTGTGTGTGCACACATGTGCATGTCACAGCACACATTTGGCAGTCAGTGAACATCTTTGTGGAATGAGGTCTCTCCTTTCACTTCCACATGATTCTGAGAACTAGATTTAGGTCCCCAGGCTCACACAGTATCTTCAACCACTGAGCCATCCTCCTAGTCCTTGTGAAGTATTTAAAATTTTTTCCTTTTATGAGTAAGTATGTCCTTGACCAATTTTTAACTGATATTTTTCAGACAAATCCTTGCTCTGTAACTCTGGATGGCCTGGAACTCTCTATGTAGACCAGGCTAGCCCAGAACTCACAGAGACCCATCTGTCTGCACCTCCTGAGAGTTGGGATTAAAGGTGTGAATCACCATGTCTGCTCTTTACTGATTTTTCCATCAAGGCTGAACTAATAATCAATTAGTTTCCTCTCAATTAATTTAACACTTATCACATCTTCCCAGTGCCCTGCAATGCCAGCCACTTTTTGGAAGATACTGATTCTGAATATGTTTGAATTTTTTTCCTGGCTTCTCTGGTTTGTGTAGTTTGTCTAATTCCTCAGCTCTGAACAGGTCCACTGCTGTTTCATTGCTAGAGCTTTAGTGTCAAGCCTTGATGTCATGTCACTCTTGTGGATGTCAGGATGTCCGTAAACAATGGTCAGGTCCTCTTCTATGCACACCTTTAGACTAGCCAATCAGTTCCTAAAAAGAAAACAAAATCTGAGCTAGAGTGATAGTTCAATGGTTAGGAGAAGTGGCTGCTCTTGCAGAGGAGCTAAGTTCAGTTCTTAGTACCCACACTTGTTATCTCAGAACTTGGCTCAGGGAATCCAATGCCTCCTTCTGGCCTCTGTGGGCACTGCATTTACACATACATATGGGCAGGCAGAACACTCATACATGTAAAATAAAGAAAGTAAAACTTTAAAAAAGAAAGAAATGTTGCTGAAAAGTCCGTGTTGGGAGTCCCCTGGCTCTGCTTCCCCCACTTTCAGTTCTGAAGTTACCGATGTGTACCACTGTACCCAGGTTTTACGTCAGTGCTGGGGACCTGAACTCATTCCTCATGATTACATGACAAGCACTTTACCCATCTCCCTGGACTACACATTTAAAGCTTTGATGACACCCAATTCTTCAAATTTCTTTTAAAGGTTATGTTTGGTATTGTCTATAAAAAATCAATAGCAGCCTTGTATTTGTTGCAACTTTTATAAAGTTTTAAAGTATCTATCTACAATATTTATTTACTCCTCCCCACCTCATGTATGTGTGTGTGTGTGTGTGTGTGTGTGTGTGTGTGTGTGTGCGCACTCACATGAGCGTGCAGAGGTCAAAGGAGGGTGTGAGTTGCCTTGCTATATCACTCTCCACCTTATTCCTTGAGGCAGGGTCTCTCCCTGAAGTGGAGCTCACTGCTTTTTGGCTAGGTTGGTAGCCAAAAGGCTTGAGTTTTGTAGCTTTTTGTTAACCTTTAAGCTCATGAATCATGATTTAATTGGGATTTCTTGTTCTGAATGGGAGGGGGCAGTTCTAGGCATTTAGTTTTCTAGGGTGTGGATATCCAAATGTTTCAACAGTGTGTGTTAAACTCTCCATCTTTCCACACTGCTTTTGTTTTTGTCAAAAACCAGTCAGACGCATTTGAGTGGAAGACATGTGACATTACCTAGAGCCCAGGGAAAGATGAGGCCACTAAAATATGGATTCTGAACCAAGGACAGAGCACCCACAGTGCAACTTACACAGACAAATTTCCCTTGAATTATTGTGGGCAAACCAGAACGTGTCTGTTAGTCCATGCAGAACATCAAATGTTAGTCTGTGACCTCTGACCAGAGGATGGAGACTTCAGAGCTGTGGATGTATGCCTGGGGCCATATGATGCTCCCAGCAGGCATGGGGACTGACCTAAGGTGCACAGATGGGCCTTCAGGAATGAGATGGGGACCAGTCAGCAGGGCAGATTCAGCTCTTCTGCCTGCCTTGTGACAGGGTGTGTGTAGTGTCACACCTTCAGATCTTGTTGTCCTTCTAATAAGCAATGAGATGGTCCTAGATTAAGACCCTTTTCTGTAGCAGTTTAATGTCCTGGCTGCAGATTCTTTAAAACTCCTATTTTAGAGTTTAGAGACTGCTGTGGGATGGTTTGTTTGTCAAGTGTGTTGCTGATTGGTCAATAAATAAATCACTGATTGGCCAGTGGCCAGGTAGGAAGTATAGGCGGGACAAGGAGGAGAATAAAGCTGGGAAGTGGAAGGCTGAGTCAGAGACACTGCCAGCCGCCATGATGACAAACAGCATGTGAAGATGCCGGTAAGCCACAATGCATGGCAAGGTATAGATTTATAGAAATGGATTAATTTAAGCTATAAGAACAGTTAGCAAGAAGCCTGCCATGGCCATACAGTTTGTAACCAATATAAGTCTCTGTGTTTACTTGGTTGGGTCTGAACGGCTGTGGGAATGGCAGGGGATAGAGATTTGTCCTGACTGTGGGCCAGGCAGGAAAACTTTAGCCACACCTACCTATCAGGCTCAATCTTCCTTCCCCTTGTGGTGACTTTTCTGAGGTGGCTTAGGCCAGTAG